TTACAACACCATCTATATGTAGGGTTGTTACCTAATCAACTAATATATTTCATAGAATATATAGTGTTGTAACCTAATCAACTAATATATTTCATAGTATATGTAGTATTGTAACCTAATCAACTAATATATTTCATAGTATATGTAGTGTTGTAACCTAATCAACTAATATATTTCATAGTATACATGGTGTTGTAACCTAATCAACTCATATATTTCATAGAGTATATAGTGTTGTAACCTAATCAACTAATATATTTCATAGAATATATAGTGTTGTAACCTAATCAATTGATATATTTCATAGTATGTGTAGTGTTGTAACTTAATCAACTTATATATTTCATAGAATACAGAGTGTTGTAATGTAATCAACTAATATATTTCATAGAATATATAGTGTTGTAACCTAATCAACTAGTATACTTCATAGAATATATATAGTGTTGTAATCTAATCAACTAGTATACTTCATAGAATATATAGTGTTGTAACTTAATCAACTAGTATATTTCATAGAATATATAGTGTTGTAACCTAAACAACTAGTATATTTCATAGAACATAGAGTGTTGTAACCTAATCAACCAATATATTTCATGGTATACATGGTGTTGTAACCTAATCAACTAGTATATTTCATAGTATATGTAGGGTTGTTACCTAATCAACTAATATATTTCATATAATATATATAGTGTTGTAACCTAATCAACTGATATATTTCATAGTATGTGTAGTGTTGTAACTTAATCAACTAATATATTTCATAGAATATATAGTGTTGTAACCTAATCAACCAATACATTTCATAGTATCTGGAGTGTTGTAACCTAACCAACTAATATATTGCATAGAATATATATAGTGTTGTAACCTAATCAACTGATATATTTCATAGTATGTAGTGTTGTAACTTAATCAACTAATATATTTCATAGAATATATAGTGTTGTAACCTAATCAACCAATACATTTCATAGTATCTGGAGTGTTGTAACCTAACCAACTAATATATTGCATAGAATATATATAGTGTTGTAAACTAATCAACTAATATATTGCTCCTTGTGATCCTTAAGTGCTACTGTTGCTAAGTGTTAACACAGTTATAATTAGTATAAGCAATATTCTGACTTATTTTGTGAAATGACTGATTTACATTTAGTGTTCGTTCACAATGTATCCAGGTGGTCCACTGATGATTGGAGACCAAAACATTATGAATTTTTATGAGATAGTATTTGAAACAAAGCGTGTGACCATAGTAGGGATTTTATGGTTTGGAAACCAGTTTGTTCCTTCGGTAACGTGGTTACCATCTTGACACTTCTAATCTAAAGGAAACGTGGGTGTTCAATACAGTTCGAATGTTATAGTCTTTTCGAAATACTTTATTTAAACGTTTTAACTTATGGTACAAATGATTTAAATGTGTTATTTATCACATGAAGTTTGTTTTGACAAGACACTTCGTTAGGTAAGAATCCTTCGGATCTGTCTAACTAGCACTAGAATAAAATGGGTCCTTCTATGGGTTCTAATGTGCATATCAACATTTTACGAATAATGAGTTCAAACGATGAGCATATGAGTGGCACACCGCATGTTTACGGCAAGCGAGCAAACAACGCAGTCATGCGCAGTTTCCCTTGTAATCAGGGCCTTTCCGTGCTGAGCCCTTGGAGACGCTAGGGTTCCGAAATGCGTGAAATGTAATGTTCAGGATGATTTCCTTTAAATGAATAGTTTGTTACATCAGCAGGGGACAAATCCGTAATGGTTCTGTCAGGCAATGTTTTAATGTAAGTCCTCTCTAAACACGTTGCAACAAATCTAGAACAACTGTTCATTCATTTTCTTCTCACGCGTAAAAGAGCTAAAGCTAATGAGCTTATACTTATCCTTCCGGATCATTCAAAGCGTTTACTATACCTTAGATGAAGAATAGGGAAAGCTAAACACTTGTGTAAACTGGGTGTTTATGTACTTTAGATGAAAACCAAACACTTGTGTAAACTGGGTGCTTATGTACTTTAGATGAAAACCAAACACTTGAGTCAACCATAAAACACTAGTACTTGAAAGGAAGGTTGTCTTGCAGAGTAGAATATCAGTTGAAAAACTCGGCGAATAGAAATCTAAGAATAAACACGACCTAAGTTTTAGTAAATAAAGCCTATGTTGAGTGAGAATAAGTCGGAGTACAAATCTATTGGGTGGCCTTATTTTAATTTTCTGTTTTTGATAAAACATTATCATATTATAAAAACACAATCACGTTGGTTTTCCTAGGTTTTACAAAAATAAGACATGGATTTATGCAGCCAGTAGGAATCTAAAATACAATTACTGCCCTGAAGTACTTTTATACGTGGTCCACGTGATCCCTAAAAGCAAATTAGACATCTAAATTAGTCATAGCCAGAAACCTCTTTCATATTACCTAACAAGCTAGCTTTTCCTAGGCTGGCCACGTATATGTTTGTAGGAGTCCATTTAACTCTCGCGTTCTTCAGTTAAGTTTACTGAAGAATTGGATATACAAACTGGTAGAAAAAATTAACGTAGAATAAGTTTTGGTTTGGCTGATCGTGATATTCTCCAGAAAAATCTATGGCTTATTTTTGGTCCGTAACTTCGAACACCCAATCATAAATTATTGAATAACACTAGAAAATGTTAACTTATTTCTTCCAATATTGCTGAAGTATTAAAATAAAATATAAATTACATTTGTAGCTAAAGAATAAGCAGTGAGATATGAATAATCATAATAATACTAAAATAAATAAACAGAAACTTTGGAGGCTCCGGAGAGTTCCCAAGTACGACTTCTCAAATCAGTTTATCGTTAACGATGGGCTTCAACGAAACACCTTACTCTATTCCGTTACAGTATATCAACAAAACACCTTACTCTATTCCGTTACAGTATATCAACGAAACACCTTACTCTATTCCGTTATAGTATATCAACGAAACACCTTACTCTATTCCGTTATAGTATATCAACGAAACACCTTACTCTATTCCGTTACAGTATATCAACAAAACACCTTACTCTATTCCGTTATAGTATATCAACGAAACACCTTACTCTATTCCGTTACAGTATATCAACAAAACACCTTACTCTATTCCGTTACAGTATATCATTATTCTGATATTTATCTTTTAACCTACATAATTTTGCCTTACTTGTTTATCTTATTCAGTGTTAAATAAATTGGACACATATCTGGCTTAAAAGAACTGTCATATCTGAGCTTGATGGATATATATTTTAAAGTTAATAACATTGGATTTATATAGCGAGTTTAATACTTCCCTATAGTTGTGAATCCACAACACATTAAATGATGTTGCCTGTTGGAAATGACAGACATGAATTAACAGTAGTTGGTTTTAAGCGAGTATCTGTTGTGTAAGTGTTGTATAAAGGTCTGTGTTATAATTAAAAATGTGTTTATTGAAATCGACTGAAAGTGCCAAATGTCTACGTTTTTAACTTTTATTTGTGCGATCAATGCCTTGATGAAAAAATAGCAATAAATATTAAAAGACCCAGAAACTCGAGCATTTTAAAAATAGTTGACCAGGAGTAAAAAGGTTAGCCAATTATTGAGTTGACTTTATCTTCATCAGGAGTAAAAATGTTATCCAATTATTTTGTTGACCATACCTTCTTCAGGAGTAAAAAAGGTTAGTCAATTATTTAGTTGATTTTGTCTTCTTCAAGAGTAAAAAGGCTAGTCAGTTATTTAGTTGACTTTTTCTTCATCAGGAGTAAAAATGTCATCCAATTATTCTGTTGACCATATCTCCTTCAGGAGTAAAAAGGTTAGTCAGTTATTTAGTTGATTTTATCTTCTTCAAGAGTAAAAAGGCTAGTCAGTTATTTAGTTGACCATTTCTTCATCAGGAGTGAAAAGGTTAGTCAGTTATTCGAAAGGCTTCGAGTTTCTGGATCATGAGATCTACATGTACGATTCATGATTATCGCATAATCTTTTTTTTTATTTTAACGTTAATAGATTGTGTATCTTTGATAGATTGTTTAGGCAGAGTATTCATGATGAGCATACTGGAACGGGCGGTAACTGTCTGTTGTAAATAATAATAAAAGACACAAGTGTTGAAGACGACGTTTCAAAAGTTTTTTTTTTTTTACAACAGATAGTGTCCATCCATACCAGTATATTCATTATTATTGTTTGTCTGTTACTACTGCCCCAGTAGGTTACCGCTAAGCCGTAGGGGCTTATAACGCTAAAAATTCGATACCAGCGGTAGACAAAACACAGACAGCCTATTGTGTAGCTTAGGCTTAACAACAAACAGATACTACCGTTGCTGCTGTTATTACCCAATTGTCGTGCATTTCCCGAGTCTGTTGATGTCTTTTACCAGACGACATCGATCTTCATGTTCAGGAAATGTAAATCTGACACAAACTGGTCGCAGTTCATGAAAAATTTACAATTAGATTCAACATGTTAATTTAGATTGTATCATGTTTCTTTTATGGCGTGAATCTCAAATAATGTCAATGATATCCGAGGAATCCCTGGGCTCCTGGATGTAGGATTTTACACTGGTGTGTAATTTGTTCGGCAAATCCAACAATTTTTATTCGAGGGTTTGTTTCAAAGGTAAAGTCTGTTAAGGCAGATTCTAGGAATTTGTCGTGCAATGATAACGAAAGACGTAACACATTTTAACTGGTCACGTTCTTTTTTTTTCCTGAAACGATTGTTTGTATCAGCATTTACGCGAGAAAGACTGTTTTGTTTAAGATTAGCAAGTGACGTAAAAGCTGTTGTTTACAGTAAATTATTTGATGAATTAAAAACTGGTGAAAGATTTAATTATTAGGATCTTTTTTTTTCCTATCAAAATATTATAAGCAAATTATTAATTAATTAGTTTGTTTCTAAATGAAACATGAAGTTATAACTGTCTATAACAGTTTCAACTGACTAATATATCTTATTTTTCAGCACCACCGATGTCACGTGTGCCGCCAGGTGTCTAAATCGAAAAGATGGTCGCCACCTCGGCTACCTTCTCGAGCCAAGTTTCCGGTACTCATGGCGGGCGAGTGGATAAGCATGAAGTGCGAAGTTCGACCGTTCGGGTTGTTTCTTCTACGACGAATGAAATTTTTCAATTTCAATCAGAGCTGGTATGGAGAGTATCAGTACTTCAAAGATGCCAAGTGTCAAGTGGCCATGTACGTATTAATCGCCGAGGGTGAATACCGGCCAGGCCATCAGCATAGAGGATCCACAAACTATGACTTTATTGTAGAAAAGGCATTAATTAGGCCTCTTGATCAGCTGTTTGTGGACAATCTCAATGGCCATGATAGTGGGATGTGTGGGCACAAAGATTTTTGGCGACTAAACGATTCACAAGACGTGACATTTAGCGGGGGTTGTAGCGGAATTGGTCTGATTGTCCCAAACACGGAGTACGATATTGTTCGCACAGACATAGATTATCACGGTCGGCCACAGCTGTATCTGGGAGATACGGACTCGGACATTATTCCTTCAACTCCGGACAAAAGGCCCACATCATATCAACCAGCCTTAACTCAATGCCGATCTTTTACTGAGCATATTGGAACTAATTACCTCTACCCCCTCCCACGGGTTCAGTACAACATTATTAGTGGAGCAGTTTCAACCACTTTAAAGGAATCGTATTTTCTTATTATTCTGTTAGTTTTGTTATCCTGTGATAACAGCGTTGTAGTTATCTTAAACAGTTAAACTGTATGGAGCTTTTGGAATATGAGTCATATTTCTGAGAATTTCTTGAGTCTTCTTTTTCTGTACATTATTTATTGTTTGAGATCTTTCAGCCCTTTTGTTGATTTGGTTATCGAACTTCTTTAAACGTGTTATCGATGCTTGGCAGACATGTGTTGTTTTAAACAGCGAGCCTTTGGAAATTGCTTCTGACAACTTATTATGGCTTTTAAACAGACAAATAGAATGAATTGGTTAGTTTATGGTAGACATTTTTTTTTTTAAATAAAGACATATTCCTGCAAGGTCATATATCAGACTGGCATTTGGTGGACCTCCAGATTTAGGAGCTAGCGAGCTGGGCTCAAATCTGTGAGATATCAAAAACATTCACCACTTTAATCTGTGTGTGTTATTACATTAACAGTCAATTCGTTAACAGCCCTCCTTCTGGTCATAAGTTGTCAGACTGGCATTTGGTGGACCTCCAGATTTAGGAGCTAGCGAGCTGGGCTCAAATCTGTGAGATATCAAAAACATTCACCACTTTAATCTGTGTGTGTTATTACATTAACAGTCAATTCGTTAACAGCCCTCCCTCTTGTCATAAGTTGAAAATTAGGGACTGCGATACATAGCATTAGTATCTATTACATAAATACGAACTAGAAATGAACGGACAAGAATACTTTTATTCTTTAATGTTTAATGACTTGAAATTTTATTCGCGATTTTTAATCAGTACCTCGATTGTAAATGAGGTGAACTTTAAAATCAGTTTTCTGATCAACAAGGTCATTTTCAGTCATACCACCACAATGGTTACAGCTGTTTATATACGATTGCGGTGGTTACTGCTATCTTATATACGTTTTTAATTATTACGACTGTTTATATAAACTATGGTTCCTTTGTTTAATTTCGTTTATAAAACTGGTTTGAAAATATAATGTAATTTTCACTTGTTTCTTTACGCTTGTGTTTAGCTTATTGAATGAAATATGGTTCCTTCAGCTAGTATTAAAAATGACACGAATATGCTTGAGCTTTTCTTACCAACATTGTGTTCGTGTTTTGTGGGCCATATAAATTTTAATTTAATCAATGTAAGAAAGGAAATCGTGACAATTTGACTCCTCACATTAAGACTGTAGTTAGTATCTTCAACCTGATATAAAAAGTGATAATAAGAGATAATGACGTTTCAACGTATTCTCATTAAGGTTGTGGTAGATTAATACACTAGTTAATCTGGTGTTTAAAAGGTAACAACACTTCGGCTTGTCATCAAAGGTATGGTTATTAACTTACATTAGGAGTGAAAACAAACCGACCTTACTTACTTTTAATATCGGAGCAGAATTCGTCTGAAAAGAAATTATGTAGTGCTAAGCATTTTTGTTTATCCAGTAGAAAATTGATAATTAAACACTATGACATATCGACTTTAAGACTGTTCTTAGTTCCTTGAATAAGGCATGTTCATTTATCGTGTAGAAAAGTCTTGATAATGAGGAAGGATGTTCTTTTGTTCATCATATTCTATATTTGTTCATCCAATATAAAGACAGATAAAAATATATTTCGATTTGTCTCCATAAAGATTGTGGTTAGTTTCTTTAATCACGCATGTTTGTTTAACCAGTATAAAATCTGATAAGAAATAACGACATTTTGTTTTGTCTTTCTCAAAACAGTGTTAGTTTCTTGAACCAGAATTCTAGTTGAACTATTATAAAAGTTGATCAAAGATAATATGTTTCGACTTGCCTTCACGAATATTATGATCAGCTGTTTGTAAAACTTGATGTAAAGAGAAAACATTTTCGTTCGTCTTTATTATAATCATGGGCGTATTTTTGAAAAAGTCGTTAAAAAAGTGAGTTTTTTTCTGCGTCTGTGTTTTTGTATGCCATAAATTGTTTTGACTACCATTTTCAACAAATGTTAATTGTGCTTTTTAGTAAGTTTTCTTGTCTTATGTAGAACTTGTGTTTTATTCAAAGGGTCCATTGAAACTTTATATTCTATTTTATGTCATGTTTTAGTGGTACTGGGTATATCTAGGTTTTATGTCATGTTTAGTGGTACTGGGTATATCTAGGTATATGTTGTCGTAGGTCGTTATAATTTTATTATACTTTGATTAAAAAATGATATATTTCTGTCACTGAATACAAATTTTCCATCAGTACTTACTTCTTCACGGCCATTTATCTATACAAAGTTAAAGAAGCATTTTCAGATGTTGTAACAATTTCTCGTGGGATTCAGTTGCAGAATACTTATTGGATATCGCTCTATGTTAAAGTTGACAGTTTATGTTAATTCCTATTACAATATTATGGTAGTATTTTAAGGTATAAATATTCAGATATCCGTGTTTAGTAAATTATTCTAATTTCTTTAAAAACTGTTATCATTTGAAACTCAGAAATAATAATAAAGGTTCCCTCACACCTGCGGTTAAATTCCAAGTTTTGGCCCACATCATGTCACTATAATTGAGATGGATCACAGGATTACTTATACCTTGTAAAGGCTAGCTTTGCAAAGGAGCCTATATTATTAGAAACAACTTTAAAATGTATCACATACAATTAGAAACAAAGAAACTAGAAACCATGTCATTTCATGATGCCAGGCGAACTCAAATAACCTGTGTTTACCACATTCAGAACATACCATTCTATAGTAGTTTGGACATTAAGTAAGGAAGGATTTCATACCAAGACATAGCAGTGCACGTCTTCATTTCGTGATGAAAAATGTCTACTCTAAGTCCTCTCTGACAAGCTTTTCTGCAAAGTCCTCTCATCCATTACAATCCAACAACACCACTGACAAGCTTTTCTGCAAAGTCCTCTCATCCATTACAATC